ACATATATTAACAGTAAAAAGACTCTAACCAACGTTTTATTTTATTTTTTGCTTGAAAAAGTATTTGAATTAGATATATTTTTGATAATCTTGAAGATATTCCAGCTAAGGATAGATCAAATCACACTGAAATTATGAGGGCCATGCTCTTTAAAATGCCATCAACTTCTTCCTATAGTATTACACCTCCATTCTGAGGACATTAATAAATTGATGGACCATATGTAGTTGATGACAACTCACTAAGAGAAACAATACCATGTTGATCTTCTTTATTTTTATTAAAGATAAATTATATATATAATAAATTATAATTGCAAAGTATGGGACGATTGATGGATTTTGGATAAGCAATTGATAAAGTGGCAGATTTTTCCTTGATAGAAACCTCCATTGGGATATTGAAGCTCTTAAGAATTGCTTTGGAGAGGAGTTGGTGGGGAGAATTCTAACCATCCAAACTAATCATGGCATGGATAGTTTTGAGCTTACTCAACTAAGGTTTCGTTTGGGACAGTTTTTTTCCTGCTTCATAAAGCAGCTTTTTAGTACAAAAATTAAAAAATTTGTACTAAAAAACTGCTTTATGAAGCAGGAAGAAAGCCGTCCCAAACAAAGCCTAAGTTTGACCATCACGAGGATAGCCACTCAGGCAAAAACTGATGGATGGAGTTAGGTGTCAATTCAATTGGATCAAAAAATTCAAATTGCATCCCAGAGAATATTTCTTCTTGTGGATATTATTCAGAGATGCTTTGCCTACCAACAGTTTGCTTCACTGTCGCAAGTTATCACACGTTTCAATCTAAGTTAAATTCTCATTTAAATCTTTAAAAAAAATTATTTCTAATACTTTCTAGCCAATTCCATATAGGTTTGCATCTACCTTCTTAACATGGGGAAGGTCTAATAATTTACTCTCCTAAGTGAGTTATGGGAAAGCTTATGTTTTATGTGGAGCTGTCAAAAAATGACCCCGAACCACCCACCAACCCGACTTGAAGCAAACCCAAAAAATCTAAGTTCAAGTCGACCCGTTTAATAAACGGGTCAAGTTCGGGTTCAAAATTCTGAATTGTTTATTAAGACGTAGGCTGACCCGCGAACACAATTTTGGCCTCAAATAATTTTTTTTTTTCTTATTTTTTTGTTGTTGATATGGTTGTCTTATTTTTATTAATTAATCTAAAATCAATAGTTAAAAAGTTATATATAATTTTTTTAAAAATTAAAGTGGGTTATCGAGTCGGGTTCAGGTGATTTGGGTTGCTATTATCAATTTATTAAACCAGTCGGGTTTGGGTTGATTGGATTCTGGTCGAGTCAATTTCAGGTTGGGCCAATACGTTACTCGTTGACCCATTTATACACCCCTAATTTTGACCAAATCATCTAAAACGACTCTCTCTAACCTTAACTATCAGTACTGGAGCTACTTCAGCCTTTTCATGTATCTACTAGTTTCTCATTTTGTTGTGAAGCCACTCAAGCTAAAATAACTCAAAATAATTATAGAAGCAGTTATTCTTACATTTTATTGGCATTTATTAAGTTTTTTCTATGATTCATTTATTCAAATGATAGTGAAATGTAGCATATTTTTTTTGGTGCTGTCTCTTATATTATCTTGAAAATGTGAACAAAATGAAATGGTGGACCTTCAAATGTGAATAAATTCTGAGCCTCCAATAAATAAATATTGGAGTTAAACATTTATGGAAACCAGCTGTCACCCTTCAAGCCTTTGACAATGCCGAAGTTTTTGTGATCCTTAAGAGAGGGACCTATTCGTTGAGAAATAGATGAGATCTTATTTAATCACAGTGAGTGAAAAAATAAAAATAAAAAATTAGATCAAATCACATAAGAGATCCAAATAAAATGTATTTAGAAAAATTACATACACGAATAAATGATTTCTAAATCTTATAAGCTTATAATCAGATTGAGGGTCTCAATAAGAAGAAACCAACAAACTCGATTTGGTGTATTTATAGAGAATGTCAATCCCAAAAATTATAAATAGGTATTTGTTCTCTACATGAAAGAGGATGGGTTCTAAATCGGAGAGAGCTCCAACGTCAAATTGCCATCAACATACACTATTATCTAACCATCGACCCCCAATAAAAATAGTTCAAACACAACCGTCAAACCACTATTGTCAGAACATTGTCATTCAATCCTTACTATCTGACCACCATTGTTAGATATCAGCCATCTGATCATTCTCTCCCAATTATGAATCTTTTATCGTCGTCGTCCAACTAAGGCCTTCTAACCACCATCATCTGACTACAACCCTCTACCCACAATTATTTTAATATAATCTTTCAACCGTTGTCACCCGACTATAATCATTCGACCACTGTTATCCAACTATTATCCTCTGACAACCATCATCTTTTTGTAGTCCTCCGACCATTACCATCTAAATATATGATCTCCAAACACCACCACACAACTATGTTTTCCATATCACCATAGATCAATTATGATATCTCAACAAACATTGCCAAACCATGGTCCTTTGAACATCATTACTTGGCTAATTAAATTTCTCTAACTACCATCACTCAACCACATTTTTTCGACCACCATCACCAGACTATGGTTCTCCAACCACTGTTGTTTGACTACAATCCTTTGATCATTATCGCCATACTATGATCTCCCGATCATCATTTCACCCGACTAAAGTTTCCCAAGAAGGATGGAGCCATAAAATTTTATTAGTGGAGGCAAATTTATGATTTTCAAAATATTTTTAATCAGTATTGGGTGTGTGTGTGTTTTTTTTTTTTTTTTGCCTTTCTATTTTAATAATTTATGGTAAAATAATATTTAAAATTTTCAAAAATATTAATTTTTATTCTTTAGACAAATTATTAAAATTTATATTATATATTTTAGTAGGGGGGGGTGGGGGGCATTTGCTCCCCCTCGACACAATGGGGTTCCGCCCCTACTCGAGTGGATGAGTAACTTCACTCTTAAAGACACTTAGAAACTAGTATATACGTAAAAATGTTAGAGTAGCTCTAGTAGCATATAAGATTAGAGAGAGGAGTCACCTTAGATGATTTGGTCACATAAAATATTGGCCTTCCAATGACTCAGTTAGGAGAGTATATGTATTCGATTTGGTCTATATTAAGAAATGTAGAAATAGACTTAAAAACAACTTGGTTATAAAATATTAAAAAATGACATTTTTGTTATATTTAAATGAGAATTTGATTATTAACAGAACATAATAGAAAAAAAATGAGTCATGTTGTCGGACACATATAGTGGGATAAAGGCTTGTTGTTGTTGTTGTATTCTATTAGTTGTATTATGCATATACCTGTGATTATCTTATTTCACATTAAACATTTAGGTGTTATTGTGTTAATTTTATGAAGGAAAAAAAAAGTGTATGATGTTAGTGGAAATTATTGGTACTATTAACTCTGCAATTTTAATTTGATAAGTACACAATATTAAAGAGATCAGTATTTTGCTACATAAATTCAAGAAATTTTGGTAATGTTCCTATTATCATCATTTTATTCAATTTCATATCATTTAGGTTGTTACCTTCTAATATCAATTTTATTCAAATATGTGCCAGTCTTAAATGATAATGAAGCTAATATTACAATGCATTATATTCATGTAGTCCCTTAGGGCATCTCCAACCGAACGGCAAACACTTGTTTGCCGTTCTTGCTTTGCTCCAACCGATCTCCATTGTTGACGCCATTTGATCGCGGATGAACAGTGCGACGCCAATATTGGCGTTGCACTGTTCATCTGCGGCATTTTTTTCTCTCTACCGAACAGCTTGGGAAGAAAGGCGCGAACGAAAACAACCATTTTAGCGGCAAAATGGCGTTGGATTGGAGATGAAATACGGCATTTTTTGATTTCCCTGCATTTTGGAGTGAAAAATGACATTTTCGGTTGGAGATGCCCTTAGAAAATGTTTCATCATGCAGTCTCATGTTCACTTATTATTTTATCTTCAAATGCTCATGAACTTAATTTTTTTCTATTAAGTTTTACAAGATATATGTTACTTTCAGGAAAATGGATAACGCTAAGTGGCCGCATAAGTTCCAGTTTGAGCTAGATTTGCAAAATGTCAAGCTTTACGATTTGAGTGGTTGCATTGAATCCAACAAATTATATATTTACTACAAACTTAGAGTAAAATGTTACATTACCTAGCCCTACGAACACCCTTAGCAATGGGCTACTATATTGTTCATGTTGGATCGGGAGTCACGATAGGGGCTCACTGGTCTCTTCATGAAGAACAATTTTGAAAGAATTCCTATATGTGACATGTAAGTAGAGTATGAATATCATATGCTCTTGATTGTATGTTTTTCTTTATTATATAAAAAATATTTTTTTTATATAATAAAATTATCAAAAAAAAATCGCTAATGGCGGTCCCTAGCCCGAATGAAGAAGGTTAAGGGTTTGTTTTGTTAAAATCCATAATTTCTACTCCAATTCTTCTTCTCTTTGTGACTTCTTGCTATCATAAATCCACTCAACTCCTTTTACGAAATGATTGAATTATCATTACATCCTTATTTCAACTTTTGACCTATTATTTTGCTACTCTTTTCTTTACTTTTTGCCAATTGCATGACTCTATTTTTTTTAATTACTAATGTATTATTCTAATGGATATTATATTTATGTTAAAATGATCAATTTCATCTAGCACATTTTTAATGAGTGTATTGAAGAATAATAGAAGTTTATATGTTTATTGATTATATATAAATCATATATAAGAATACAAATATTACATTAAATATTCATAAGAATTTAATATCATTCATATAGCATGTTTTAAAAATCAAATAAAGAAACTTAATTATATCTAGCTATTTTAAGTTTTTAACTATTAAAAAACCAAATTAATTACTCTCACGCGGCCAGCCATCTCCAACCGTCCATTCTCGGCCCATAAATTCCTCACGCTCTCCATAATCTCCCCACATTCTTTCTTTTTCTTCTTCTTCTTCTCTCTGCACTCTCTTCAATCTTTCTTTACAGGAGCTCTGCAATATTTATTTAAATTGAGAAAATAAAAATGGTAGGAATTTTTTCTCTGGTGACTGGATGGCCAGGTCCGAGCGGCTTTGGCTCAGCAACCACAGCCGAGCAAGTTACTGAGGGCATCGATGCTTCTAATCTCACTGTCATAATTACAGGTATTTTTTGTTGTTGTCTTCCTTCAAATTTTCAATCGAATGAAGCTATTTTCCTTCTCTGTTAAACGTTTTTCACTGGATTTTTTGGAAGGCTTTTTAGTTAAATTTATGATGGTTTTTTTTTGTTTTGCCTTTGCTTATTTCTTCTACTTTTTTTCTATACTGTTCTGAATTTCAAGTGAGGACTCATTTGGTAGGATGTAGAACAACTCAGCAAGTGCATTTGTAATGGTTTAAATTTAGAGAAAATTTTGATCGCCATGAATCTACTTATAAAAAATTTGATTAAGAGTGCTAGTTTTGACTCATTTTGTTTGCTAAAATGACACAATTAAAGCAAATTTGGTCATTTTATAAAACATATTTTCGTACTAATGAGAAATCAGATAAGCCATAATATGATTCTTCAGGTAGATTTTGGTATCATTTCCTCATTGAAATTCATTTGCATCTGTTCCTCTTCCAGAATCTCAGTTGCTGCAACTCTTTGATATCTGATTCTAATCCCTTCCCATCTCTTCTAATGATAACTAGAGATTATTCATGAAATTTTTTTTTATTTAACTATATTTAATTAATAACAAATTTTTGCTTTCCTCTTTTGTTCTGCAGCAGTTGGATGGTTCATTTCCTTTCTTTAAACATAGATTGGCCCACTTTCAGCTACTCGTCTAACTTCTTACAGAAGTGTTAGTTGATACCAACAAATAATTAATATCTTCTCAAAATATTATTATTGGAGTTTTTTGTGATCAAAATTATTCTGTTTGTGTATTTTTTGTTAGCTTTAGGTGTTTTTTTTTCAGTTTTTTGTATGGCTTATATTGCTATTGATATAACCATTTGTGTCTATATATAAACGTATAGGCTGTAATAGAAGGCATGGAAGGCATGGTTAAGCAATAAAATTTCTGATTTCTGTTCTCTCCCTTTACCCTTCTCTCTCACTCCTCGCTCTCATCCAAGAGGCGAATTATTACGTCCGGTCACTGGACGTCCGGACATCCAATCCGGATGCGCCATATCACCCAAATACATTGGGACCCGATATATTTTGGTGATGTGACGCGTCTGGATTGGTGTCCGGACGAATCCAGACATCGGACGTAATAATTTGCTCATCCATGAAGCTCAAGAAAGCTTCCTTCCTCCCCAAAAAATCCTAACATATTTGTAAAAGTGCAAATAAGGCATAGATTATTTCTTCTTATGCAGAGTTATATCCAATCTAGCAAAAAATTAGTTGTTAAGTGGTTCGTTACAGTTATTGTTTGCTACTATTGTGCTAAGCATATGTGATTGAAGAAAAAAATATTTATTTGTGATATGATAATGGAGGTCATCATCATCATTTATAAATGGCTATTTTGCTAGCAATTCATTCTTAGGTGTTTAGTAAATGATGAGAAAGAAGACGCTACAATCGATAAGAAAACAGTCGTAATTTGGATCTTTTTTAGATAACTTTCTTCCAGCTTTATCTTGTCATATCACAATCATAATTCTATTTGACTAATATGTTTTGTTGCTTTACAAAAATTTATATATTAAAAAGTTGTTTTTATAGCAACTTCTAAAAAAATTACACTCCACAACAGCTTTACAATCATTGTCATTAAAAACTACAGCAATCCCAAATAAAATCTTAGATGATATTCATGCAGTGTTCCTAATAATTTAGATCAGTTTAATCTGTGGATGAACTCTCACAGCTCCTAAATTTAAGAAAAATCTTACTTAACTATAAATATAGTACGAAAATTTTATCATTAAATGATGATATTGTTAATATAGGAGGAGCAAGCGGGATCGGTGCAGAGACGGCGAGAGTAGCTGCGCTTAGAGGAGCCCATGTTATTATTGCTGCAAGGAATATGGAAGCTGCTAATGAAACAAAGGAGCAAATAGTTTCCAGCAATTCAGCAGCTCGTGTTGATGCCATGAAACTAGACCTCAATTCTCTCAAGTCTGTGAGATCTTTTGCTGATAATTTTGTCGCGACTGGCCTTCCATTAAACATCTTGATGTAAGATATATTGTTTCTCTGCATTTATTAGCCTTGTTTTGAACATTTTAGGATTAAATCTAAGGCCTTTTTAAAATATTTCAGAAACAACGCTGGTGTGATGTTCTGTCCTTACCAACTTTCAGAGAATGGCGTGGAGATGCAATTTGCGACCAATCATCTTGGTTAGTAAATTATCTGAACGAACATGAACAGGTTCTAACAATATCTGGATGGGTTAATTTCATCGTTTCCTTGTATGATTAGGCCATTTCTACTTGACCAACCTTCTCCTTGACAAAATCAAAAGAACAGCAAAAGAGAGTGGGGTTGAAGGCCGAATTGTGAACTTGTCATCGATAGCTCACCTTCATACTTATCCAGAAGGGATACAATTTGATGGAATTAATGACCGATCCAGGTGTGTAGACACTAAAGTTCAAGTAGTTATGCCATTTATGAACGGTTTTGTCTTTCATCTTCCTGAATCAGCTCAGCTAACTCTCATGGGCTTAAATTTCTTGATGAGAGATGTAACCTGCGTTCGAAAAGTTGAATTTTCTTTTCTTCATTTTTATTGTCAGATACAATGATAAGAAGGCTTACGGGCAATCCAAACTTGCTAATATATTGCATGCAAATGAGCTATCGAGACGTCTGCAGGTAATTTTTGTCATAAATAAACTTAATTCCAATGAAATTTACAAATCCTAAATTTGTTTCATTTATTTACTTCATCTTTCAGCTTGATTTGTGGATGCTAATAAATTTCTCATCTTGACATTTGCAGGAAGAAAGAGCTAATGTGACAGTAAACTCTGTTCATCCAGGACTAATCATGACAAATCTGATGCGGCACTCTGTAACTCAAATGAGTAAAACCTATAAGCATTTTGAAACTTCTGGCTTTGTGAAAAATCCAAGTTTTCAAGTTTTAAAAACGAAACTCCTTTCTATTTTGTAGAGGTGCTAAAAATATTTACCTACATGTTCTGGAAGAATGTTCAACAGGTTCGAAATTCACCTCTAAGATTTAAATCGGTTTCAAAGTCTTTAAATTTAATTTATACAAAATCAAAGATTCAAAGATAGAGTTTTTTTTTTTACCACCAGCAAATGATCCACGTGAAATCATTGACATTTTGCAGGGAGCAGCTACGTCTTGCTATGCGGCTCTGCATCCAAGCCTCAAAGGCATAACAGGGAAATACTTTCTAGATTGCAACGAGAAGGAGCCAAGCAATCTTGCGAAAAATGAAAAGCTTGCAAAACAACTATGGGCTTTCAGCGAGGAGTTGGTGAAATCAGCTCAGCCTCTGTGATGTTAGAAGTTATAAAAGAGCAGAGCATTAATTCCTATTAATCAATAATCGGTTCTTTCCCTACCAACTTGTTAAATCCATTTAGAGGTTATAAGAACATAATAAAATGGTATTCGATGATGTAATATATGTTAACAATTGATCCTAGTGAAATGATGCTATGCGCAAGTTTATGGAATTATATTCCAGAAAAATTCTTATCAAATCAGTGAAATCATTTTTTTTATAGATGTCCAACTTGTTAAACCCTGACCCCCAACTTCTCTAGAGAAAGATTTGAGATTCGTTGAGAAAGAATACCGTACAGTCTTAATTCGCAATTTTAATGTTTCAACCATGGTTGATTCACCTTTGAAAAAACCGGATCACGCATTTATCAAAATTCATCCCACTTTAAAATCCGAAATTCAATTCAAGTTACAATCTGAGCCAAAAATCACTATTTTTTGCAAATTTGGAATCAAATTCACTCGAACAAAAATCATGGAAAAAGAAGTTCGTCAAAGTAGACTATTAGCCAAATCATAGAGCAAATGATGCAATCGTTATTTGCATAATTTCATTACAAATTTAAGCTATCATACACCGGATTATCAAATTAAGCCACAGAGACATATAACATTGATTCCATAACATTAAGAAAAAACTACAAAATTAAAACATAAACCAAATTCTACTCAGATTCTAACAAACCGCATCAATGAATCACGCGAAGCTTAAGAGCTAGTGAACTTCGTAACAGCCTTGGTTCCTTCGGAAACGGCGTGCTTAGCGAGCTCACCGGGGAGAACAAGGCGAACAGACGTCTGGATCTCGCGAGATGTGATGGTGGGCTTCTTGTTATAGCGAGCGAGGCGAGATGATTCCTGAGCTAGCTTCTCGAATATGTCATTGATAAAGGAATTCATGATGCTCATTGCCTTGCTTGAGATCCCAATGTCAGGGTGGACCTGCTTCAGAACCTTAAAGATGTAAATTTTGTAGGTTTCGGTCCCTTTCTTCGCCTTCTTCTTCTTCTTCTTATCACCGGCGGCGCCATCCTTCGCCGGACGCTTCTCCGCCTTGGGCTTCTTCTCGGCCGGCTTTTTCTCTGCCGGAGCCTTCTCAGCCGGCTTCTCCTCAACTGCCGCTGGCTTCTTCTCCGCTGGCTTCTTCTCAGCTTTGGGCGCCATGTCGAATTCCGCGAATACAGAAAGAAAAGATGGAAACGTAATTAGACGAGCGAGAAAAGGAAAGGTTTTTGACGATGGTGAAGAGTTCTCTTTGTTTTATATTTATAGGAGGCGGACTTGGAATTTGATTGGTTTGAAGTGAAAGGTGCGGATCGGCGCAATAGAAGGTGATCTAGTGATTCCTACATAACCCATCGGACGGCTATTATTAGTTTTCGGCGTAAGAAAGGATTCCCAATAGGAAGGGCAACTCCGGCCGCGTGATTTAATTACAACAAATATTAGTTTTTATTTATTAATATTTATTTAAAAATTAAATTAAAACTAAATTACTTTTAACTTTTTAAGTCTAAGTATTTATATTTCATAACAAACCTTGCAAAAAGAGATTGTAGAAATCAAGTATTTATAAAGGGGCAATTAACACTCAATAATAGAACTTTATTTTTAGAATTTGAATTATAATATTGATATATAAAAAAAAGGTTAAATATTGTTAGTTTTATAGAGATAGTGGTGATTTTTTTATGCTAATTGTCAAAGATGATTAGAGGTGTTAGTGACCCGATTAGATGATTAAATTAAAATATATTAAATAATTAATTTAAAATAGCATTATATTATATATTTTAATTTTTTAATTAATTATATATTAAAAAAATTAAAACAAATTAAATATTTTAATTTAAAATTAAGATATCGAGCATAACGGTCGAGTTGAGCTTGAGCTCATAAATTTTTAAGGAGTCGAGCTTAAGCATCCTACGAATTAGTTGTCATTCCACAGAATCCAATTTGAAATAATTCTTTCTTTTTATCTTTTATTAGACAAAAACTAAATCTATCTAATTTATTTATCAACGAACTCAGTCATTTTGAAGAGAGAGAAAATCAAATAAACATCTAAAATCAGTTTGAGGAGAGAGAAGGTCGAGAGAAAGATTGGAAAAGTTGATTTTCGGGCGACGCCGGGCTGTTTTCGTCCGACGAGATTGTTCGAGAAAGTGTTGTACGCAAGGTAAGACACA